TTCATACATATAGATAGATGAATGAGTTGATTTACTTTGTTATGTATTGAAACTGAAAACTTTCATACAAAAGTGAATATCTGATATATGATGTACGATGATAGGTTTCGGCTTATCAGAAGCTGAATAACTTATTTTTACAATTATATCATATACTAAGTCATTCAACCGAAAATGGTAACAGTTTGAGATTTGCCACGCCCTCTAGTTCGAATATATTAATATTTATTTGATTGATTTAATTTTAATAATTACGATCGATTAATTAACTATATATAATTTGAACAAATCTCTATTTAATTCAATAGATATCGCTCAAAATCTATTAAAAGAAATAAATCTTTTCGTTTCAGTATTTTGTATGATGACGCAAGAGACAAACCGATAATTCTAATCATATTTTTCTTTCTCTTCTCTGTTTTTATCTTTTATTTAGTCAGGCATGTCTCTTTCTATTTCATTTAACAAAGATTTGTTGATTTTACAAAATACTAAAACGATTACAAAGTAAAAGAAAGAAACACAATTTAATTTCTAAAAGGGACGAGATCTTACAAGCCTCATATCAGGATAGTAATGTACTATAAAGATACTTCCATTTTAGATGTTTCCAGAGTAGGGAAAATTTGATGATTTCTAACCAACTCTTTTAATTTATATTCATAAAAATATTTTTTTTTTATTATATTTAACATTTTAGATATAACAGTGAATACCAATGAAAATAAAAAATTTAAAGAACTTAATCAATATTTATACCATTATTTAAAAAATAATGGTTTCAACGAATCATTTGATGCTACAGAAGTAAGAAAAACTAATAGACTTATGTATATATATATATATCTAATTCTACTTTAATAATTTTAAGAGCACACGTGGATCAGTACAAGCTAGTGAAAATAAATACACTCGTACATGGTCGCTCAAAAATATTGAAAATGAAATTAAGACGAAAAAACGAGAAAATAAAGTCTTTCTCGAAGTCAAAGTAAGAACTTTGTTTTTGAGGAAAATAAAATATGAAATTTGTTTTTTGAATTTTAGAACAACATCATCAAAACAAAACAAATAACTAGGGGTGTCAACTTTGCGTTCCGTTCCTAGGAGCGGGGAACACTACTCCGTTCCCGTTCCTGGGAACGGGGAACGCTACC